AAATCACTTTTATAAAAAACTGCTCTTTTAGGTAGAATTGTTATGTATATCATTTTGATTGTAAGTTGTGTTGCTTTTTTATTTGGCAATTTAGAAATTTTATGGAATCTGCTTGATATGCTACAATAATTATCATTTATGAAATATCACAATCTTCAATTTCCAGAAAACTTATAAATTTATTTTGAAATATTTACTATTGGATCATTTACTCCCATAATTGATATATTGTAAACAGATTTATTTTTGCAAAATCTATTTGATTATTAAATTCCACTTATACCAGCCAAATGGAAATTCGAATATTATTAAATAAATTGTTATTTTTTATAAAACCTATTAACACTATTCTCTGTAGTGATATTGGGATTTGTTTATTTTGTAATCTCGTATTTATTTTATAAATTTCTTATAATTATTAAATATTAGAATTGGCCAGCTATATTTTACAATAATTATCCAGAATTTTTCTATAAGGTAATCAAATTTATTTTTTAACTCTAAAAACTGGCAAGAAAATAATATCAATATTTTATTTACTCTGGATTAATCAGAATTTATACATCTAACTTTTATGAATTGACTTTTACATCTATATTACAAATTGTCAACTTAAATTTAGATACAACTTTTAATACAATTATCTCTTTATTGGCAATAATTACATTAATATGTAATTTTTTACTTATATCTTCTGTTTTTTCATATCTAAGTAAAAATGATAGAGTAAATAAAACTGTATCAGTTTTAATAGAAGGAATAGAAAATAAAATAAACTAAGGAACTAAATAATATTTTACTATTTTATTATTGAAAAAAACCCTTTTCATTGTTAATATAGTTGCATTTTAAGCCCTTGTAGCTGCTTAGAGTCTAATTACAGCTATGATATCAGGAGTATTTAGTTGTTATATTAAAATTTATAAACCTTTTGAGAATAAATATGAAAATACTAAATTATTCATAACAGAAATTCTGATTATGTTAAATACTATAGTCTTCTCTATATATGAAATTATCAAATCTAATGAAGACAAAGAATAAACTGAATTATTAGGCTGGATTAATGTAGCAGGTTTCACTTTGATTCTTATTTTAACACTAACAATTGATGTCTACTAACAAATAAAAAAATACTTTAAGTTGATTATGATTTAATTTAATTAATGCTTTGGTATTTAAAAGAAAAATCCAGAATAAACAAAAATGATGATATGTAATATTTGACTATTGAAAAATGAAATAAATAATAAAATAGAATATTTTATAAATTCAATTATAATTTTTTGATATTATTCCCTATAATATATTGATTATATATTTATCTTTCATTCTTTAGTTACAAGCTTTCTTAATAAAATCCACTTTTATATTAGTTATTTTTATTTTTGAGTTTAATTATCCTAGTGAGATTTTCATTCAAAAAAATTTTTGACTAAAAATGTTTAAATCCTCTTTAATTGTGTACAATTCAAGAAATTTTCATTTAAGTTGAACTTATATTATTGGATAAAGGAAGTATAATCTTCAGATGAAAAAAAGGATTCTTTAATGTTATTATATTAAATAAAGTTTAAACTATAATTTTATTAGAAATTAACAAAAATATATTTTCTATTATTATTTTAGAATTCTATTAAACCGAAAAATTTTTGATAATAATTAATATTATTTTTAATGTCTCAATAAAGAAATACACTTTGTCAACATCACAATGAAGAATTCCTTGCCATTGAAAAAACAGAATCAGATAAAAAAGAAATAAAACTATGTTTACGATGCTTAGCTAATGGGTATAAAGGGAATGTTGTTATTATTGATAAATAAATTTAAAATGTCTAGAATATGAAAACTCAACTTATTTAATCAAGGAAAGAATAGATAAAAATCAATATAGACTAATTAGAAGATTTGATAAAAAATATTACTACACTCAAATAGTTCTATGATGATGAGATAAATAAAATTAGTAAAGGTGTGGAAGAATGGATAAAGAAATTTGAAAATATGAGGGATTTATTTGAAGAAAATATTAATAAACAAGAAGTGAATGATTTGTAAGAATTTTTAAATTATATAAATTAATTTCAAAGTACACAAATTAAGGAATTATCAGAATCTAAAATTGATATTAATAAATTATTATAATAGCTAAAGGAACCAGATATATTATAAGCATGTGATAAAATTTTAATAAATATACAATCATTTCCTTAATTATTTCAGGAGGTAACGGTGGAAAAAGAATCAGAAAAAAACAAAAAAGTGGTAAAATTTTATTTATTAATTTAGAAATTAAATATATTCTGTAAAGAACATCAATCAAACAGAATAAAATTTTTTGATTTGTGGTCAGAGAAAATAAGTTCTAGGAGTTTAGCTTGTGATTAATGTTTTGATGATTATCCTTCATAAAATTATAAAAGTGTTAAATTTGCTCATAAATAATGGAATAAGATTGTATAAAAACAGCAATAGAGTATGTAAAATAATTTATTAAATGTAAAAAAAACAGTTTATGTTATGAATCAAGATATGCAATAGATATAAAACTCTATAAAGAAATCTTATGAAAATTATTTTGAGAAGTATATTACTAATTATAATTAATATGAATTAAATGTTGAAAAAATGAAATAAGAAATGAATCTACCATGGGAATTGTTAAAAGAAGATAAATTGCTAAAAATAGTTGAAGATATGAATAAGAGTACAAATTCTGATGATCCCCTTCTAGTTTAGTATACTGAATAAAATGATTTAGTAAATCAAATAATGAAAGATAATTTTCTGTCTTTGTAAGAATGTACATTTAATTAAATTAAGAAATTTAATCCACTCATATAGAATTAAATATTTGAATAAATGACAACATAATAAAAATAAAATCAACCAAATAATAANATAATTTTATTAGAAATTAACAAAAATATATTTTCTATTATTATTTTAGAATTCTATTAAACCGAAAAATTTTTGATAATAATTAATATTATTTTTAATGTCTCAATAAAGAAATACACTTTGTCAACATCACAATGAAGAATTCCTTGCCATTGAAAAAACAGAATCAGATAAAAAAGAAATAAAACTATGTTTACGATGCTTAGCTAATGGGTATAAAGGGAATGTTGTTATTATTGATAAATAAATTTAAAATGTCTAGAATATGAAAACTCAACTTATTTAATCAAGGAAAGAATAGATAAAAATCAATATAGACTAATTAGAAGATTTGATAAAAAATATTACTACACTCAAATAGTTCTATGATGATGAGATAAATAAAATTAGTAAAGGTGTGGAAGAATGGATAAAGAAATTTGAAAATATGAGGGATTTATTTGAAGAAAATATTAATAAACAAGAAGTGAATGATTTGTAAGAATTTTTAAATTATATAAATTAATTTCAAAGTACACAAATTAAGGAATTATCAGAATCTAAAATTGATATTAATAAATTATTATAATAGCTAAAGGAACCAGATATATTATAAGCATGTGATAAAATTTTAATAAATATACAATCATTTCCTTAATTATTTCAGGAGGTAACGGTGGAAAAAGAATCAGAAAAAAACAAAAAAGTGGTAAAATTTTATTTATTAATTTAGAAATTAAATATATTCTGTAAAGAACATCAATCAAACAGAATAAAATTTTTTGATTTGTGGTCAGAGAAAATAAGTTCTAGGAGTTTAGCTTGTGATTAATGTTTTGATGATTATCCTTCATAAAATTATAAAAGTGTTAAATTTGCTCATAAATAATGGAATAAGATTGTATAAAAACAGCAATAGAGTATGTAAAATAATTTATTAAATGTAAAAAAAACAGTTTATGTTATGAATCAAGATATGCAATAGATATAAAACTCTATAAAGAAATCTTATGAAAATTATTTTGAGAAGTATATTACTAATTATAATTAATATGAATTAAATGTTGAAAAAATGAAATAAGAAATGAATCTACCATGGGAATTGTTAAAAGAAGATAAATTGCTAAAAATAGTTGAAGATATGAATAAGAGTACAAATTCTGATGATCCCCTTCTAGTTTAGTATACTGAATAAAATGATTTAGTAAATCAAATAATGAAAGATAATTTTCTGTCTTTGTAAGAATGTACATTTAATTAAATTAAGAAATTTAATCCACTCATATAGAATTAAATATTTGAATAAATGACAACATAATAAAAATAAAATCAACCAAATAATAATTTAATTGAGAAAATTAAAGAAGTACCCAAAAATAACTCACTTTAAGAAGAATAAAATATAAGAAAAATTACTAAAACAAATTTTACATACCATCTCATAAAAGAAAGTTCAATCAAAGAATAGTAATAATGTAATGCAATGGCTTTTAATAAGGATTGTTCAATAGTATTGGTTGGATGTAATTAATAAATACAAGTATTTGAATTTAAATAGGGAATGATGAAATAAACTTAAATCCTTAAAAAACATGAAAATAATGTCATCACTTTAAATTTTATGAAAAACTCTAATTAATTTATCTCTGGAAGTGAAAAAGATGGATGGATTATAATTTGGTCACTGAATTCAATTAATAATTAATGGGTTTTATAATAAAAACTAAAAAAACATTCAGTAGGAATAATATGTTTAGTATTGAATGAAAATGAAGATCTATTTGTATCAGGTGACTTTGATAAAAAAATAATTTTTTGGGGCAAAAAGAATGAATGGATATTGGAATAAACATTAGACCTAGGATAAAGATTATATGCACTAAGCATAAATGAAGAATAAAGTAGATAGATTATATGTTCTTTTGAGACTGAAATATTTATATTAGAATTTTAATAATAAAAATGGATTATTTAATAGAAGATACTAGTCTAATAAAAAGCGATTAGAGTTAGCTTCATTTCTAATAATTTATTCACAGTCTAATCATTCTAAAATGATTTATTGGATATATATGAAATGGAGAATTAATTGGGATATATTAAAACTAGAGGAATTAAAGTTATGCGTGGTTAAGAAGAAGAATGTCTATTTTTTCCTTCATAATATATAAAGTCAAAAAATTTGCTTGTAATTAAGAATTGCTAATATATAAATTTAATCAAAATTAAAGAAAATAGAGAGTTGATAGTTGAGAATTCTATTTAGTATCAAACTAGTAAGCTATACGGATCTATAAGTGATGATGGGGAATATCTTATTACCTGGGATCAAGTATCAAAAGAAATACAAATCAGAAAATTGTAAGAATCATGAAGATGTGAGTTGTTAGATCATAAAAATATTTACAAGTCATATAAAAAACTATTTTTCATTAATTTATGAATCAATTTAAAATTTTTATTAAAATGGAAATAAATGTTTGAATTATTAAATCATATAAAAAAAAAATTCATAAATAAAGATGTAAAGACAAATGCCATTACAGTAAAAAAAAATCAAATAAAGAAATAAATTTGTAATTCAATATTTTTTTTAGCATCTTACCCATCAAAATCAAAGTTTTAACTTAAAAAAATTTCATTTTGATAACTTTGAACTATTTTATTAATAATAGTTTTTGATTTATTTTCTCTTATGTTATTCATGTTTGATTAAATTATTACCCAATCCCACCATAATAACACTATAAAATAAAATTAATGATTCTCAGAATATTCATTGTTAAACTTAATTAAAAACTTTAATTAAAGCTTTTGTTTATAAATAACAAGAAACCCCTAAAAATCAAAAAAATCTTTGAGATAGTTTTTAATTGTAATAAGCCAAAAGCTCAAAAATGAATAATAATAGTAGGTTTAAATGATTTAAATAGATTCTGAAACATAAAATAAGTATAAGCTTAAAGATCTTGATAATATTCAATTAGAAATTCCAAAGTCAGTAAATTTGTCATTTGGTGCAATGCCATTTATACCTAAAATTTGAATGTTTGTTATCTAAAATAGGAATATTGTACCCTGTTAATTGTAAAATTAATAATGAAAAAGCTATCTTAAAATGTAAACACATTCTAAATTATAAAATCTGAAATTTTCTAAACATAATGCTTAACTTATTTCAGGGTCTTCAGAAAAGTCTAACATTATTTATTTTCAATTCTTTTCTAATATTCTATCAAATATACTCCTCAAAACAATCAGCTCTTTATTGCTTCATAAGGACTTAATACATTGTTCCATTCATAAGTTAATCAACTTTTGATCTTCATCAAATATCCTCACTTGTATCGATCAGTCGCTTCTTAAGGTCCATTCATCCCAAATAAATTATACTACAAGATTTAAACTAAATCTAAGAGGGCATGAAATTAATGTTAGGTGTTTAATATTTATGATATTTTCGAATGATAAAATGATAAATATTTTTTATGTTTGTTATGTTAGCGATATCAATTTTAATATGATTCAGTTAATAAAATACTCTTGTTTTATAAGAAGTATACTCCTTATTAACTTCTAAATTCACACTTCGAATTTGAAGCTCCTAATGCTTATAATATTGTCTATTAAGATAAAAGGTTGTAATAATATAAGTAATATTAATATTAAATACTTCATTTTGGAAATAGATTGTTTTAAAGTGACTTTTTCTGACCATAATGAGTTACTTGCAAAACTAGATACTAATAAATGACTTTCAAGGCAAAATAATAAAAAATTTAAATTAGATGAACATAATAATCATGTTTAGTCAGTATGCTACTCTTGTCTCAACTTTTCATAAGTGAACTAAATCATTATAATTACTTGATGCTAATGTAGTACAATTAGGAGAGAGAAGCACATAACATCGCAGTTCCACTATGTTCTACTAATTTAAATTTTTTATTATCTAATCCCATAGTTATTCATCCTAACCGAAGCTAAAGTATTTCTGTCCGAACACGAATTGTATGACCATCCAATTTGTAGAATTACTTTAGCCTTATTTTTTCCATTCTCAATTAAGAATTAAAAAAATTATATATGATCTTCTTAGTTTCTCAGTTTTTTTACTGAGATTCTCTAGATTTTCTTTATAAACTTCAGAGGAATAGTAATTTTAATTAAAAGTCTTATTTATAAATTTTTTTGATCCCATTATTATTTTCTTTCACTTTTTTCTTCTAAATATTTAAAAAAAAATTCTTAACAATCTGATATCTCTTCTACTTTTATAAAGATCTACTTTCGCTTCATAAATAGGCCTATAAGATTATTAATATTTTTACTTGATTCATTGCAGATAATTAGGAGGAAATTGTAGAGCAATTTCTTAGTAACTTGAAGAGTTTCAAGCAAGTAAAACTTGGTCTTTGACTCATTAATGTGTCTTTTTTTCTAAATTTCAATTGAATCAATAGCATTAATGATTCGATCATAGGATTTCTAAAAGTTTACTATAAAGGCACAATATTTACGTATATTAATTGTTCCAAGTTCAAAATTTATTGCTTAAACCCTGTTTTTTTGGTTCAAAGAACTTTTTGAACAATTATAGAGAATCCTTTTACAAATTATGTAAATTAAGATATTTTAATTAAAAGTTGAATAAATTTTCTTTTTGATTAGAATGACATAATTCATCAAAAAAATATACGTATGGAATGAAAAGAAAAATTTTGATTTGTTATATTAAAAAAATTATAAATTTTCCGTTTTATCACACAAATATGACTGTTGAATTTGTTATTAGTTATTGATTATCATGTTTTCATTATTATTAGTATATTGAATCTTTATTCTTTTGAATTAATCTTAATTCAATTAATAATTTCCTTCTTTTATCTAATTAACTTTTTTACAAGTATACAAACTTTTATTAGAGAGTAAATATACAACTAGAATATGAATATTTTCGATAAAATAAATTAGACTCATTCAGAAACTTTAGTTTTATTAGGGTTCATTATTATATCATTCTATACTTTTGAAAGTTAATAACTTTTAATATTAATCAAGTTATAATCTATAGATGTTGATAGGGTTTTACTTTAGTATTGGAGGGTAGCTCTCCATCTGTTTAATTTATTTCACTAATATTGTAGATAGTAGAAAATTATAATTTACAATAAACTACTGTATCTAAATTATAGGAAGCTTAAAAGTTAACAAGATTCGTAAGACCATCGAATAGAATCAATTAATGAGGTTTAGTATTCAAAGTAAGTTATTATTCATAATTGTCAGTATAAAAATAGTAAAAAAGATATACATCAAGAATAAAGTAGAGAAAATAAAAAATAAATTAAATTGGAAGTGAATTAGAAATTATAGAAGGTGATGAAAAAAGGGTTTTAATTGACAAAATTTTGTTGCAATTATATGAAAAAATAAAACTATTTGATCATTGTATTGCAGAGAATCATTCTGCTTTTTTTCTCCATATTCTATTACCTTAGAATTTGATTTTGTAGATAACTCTTATATCAGTATGCTTTTCTCCTGATTTTACTTTATTAGCATTTATTATTTCTGATAAATCAATCTGTTTAAGGGAGAAAAAGAGAGGAAAATAAATTAATATATAGTCTGAAAAATTAGCCACACATGCTTATATATAAGGCTCTAATTAACGGCAAATAAAATTAGCAAGTTGTTAAATCTATAATAACCAAAATCACATTTAGCGCAAGAATTAACTTTAAATCCAAAAAATTCAATTTAATTATCTAAATAAGTATAGTAAAGGCATGCAGAAATATAATATTTTAATAATTATGTATGATGCAATCTTCAGTATAAGTAATTGATCTACTAAAGCATTTACAATTATCCAAATCTCATACTAAATTAATTTAAGAGCTATTGCAATATTTTATTAATTATTGAGAAGAGGTTCAAGGGAATATCTAATTAATAACATGCTCTTAAGGATACGGTAGTATACTATTAACAAGTGCATTTTTCATTAACCATTTTTTGCAAAATCAGTGCAATACATAGTATTCAAAATCAATTTTAGAGAATAAAATGATCTAGATTTAAAGATAAGGTTTATTGTTAAAGATTAATAATTAGCCATTTTTTAAATAAGATTAATTTAGCTCGAAATTAAATTTTCAAAACAAAAACAATTCTCCCTTCAAGAAAATATCATTTGCTCTTATTTTTAGTTTGGAAATCAGACAAAAAAGAGTTAAAGAAAATATATTCATGGGAGTCCAAATTTTAAATTAGGAGCAAATAAATTATTTGATCTTAATATTCTCCTTAAAATATACTGATGAATGATGATCACTCTGACTTTAATCATTATTTATATTCCAATAAAAATCCACATTCTTTTAATTATAATAACTAATTCTCAATTTCAATAGTAGTTTTTTAGCTTTACATTTCAATTATATCAAATTTCTTGGACGATGAAATCCGCCATTTAAAATTTTAATTAAAATAGAGGGGATATATATAATGTGTGAATATATATCAAAATTAAATGGGTTGTTTTTGTTTTGGAATGTATGCTTCACAGTCTAATCATCTTCTTGATTGCTGCTATATCTTTCATTTGTTTTGTTATAGCTTTCTGAGTTTTCTTAACCATTGGGTCATGGATCTTTTTGGTATAATCCAAAATTTTCTTAATTTTTTCTTTGGCTCCTTTAAGTATTCGATCTTGGTGTTCACTTAAGTGGTCCAGACTCATCAGATGCTCATGATCCTTGCATCTTCTCCATTAGTTTTTCCATAGTTCAAATTATGAGTAGCCAGGAATTCTTCTTATTTAAAGATAACTGATTCTAAGCATTTAATCATTGGGAATTTCTTCCTTCTCTTCAATTTTCATACGCTTTTTCTTCACTTTGGCAATTTCTTCCTACTCTACCAATGTTATTATTTTTCCTTCGAACTCTGGGTTTCTATCAATGAAACCCTCCCACAAATTTTCTCATGTCACGGGACAGATTTCAGTCATTTCCTAATCATGACCTTCCTT